TCACTGTAATGCCAATTTAATAGTGATGTGTCTGCTGATTATCCATGCTGCTGATCGCTTGCCTTTAACTGCTGTATTCATACCCATCTGCTCATAACAGACTCGTGTTCAGGCTGCAGTTTAATACACCGTGTTATATTACATTATTACCGTTTGGCGTATATCTTAGATCCTTATATACTGTTTCTTTTTTATACTTTATATTTTTTCTATTTTGGGGTGTAACTGGGACCTTGAGTACACAATTTTGCTCCACCTCATGTACCACATGTGAAAAATAAAATAATAAATAAATAAAAACCTTGAACTTGTGTTTGTTTGTTTTTGGTTTTTTTACATTTTATAATTTACAAGCATGCTAAAATAGTATTAACTCATGTCTGCAGGCTACATGCATGTCCCAGTCTGTTCCAAAAGGCTTTAATTTGGGGAGGGGGGGGGGGGGGGGTGCTTATTGTCTGGTAATAAAGTGTGTCATTCAGAACTGTATGACTGATGTTCTGCAGTATCACAACATCCTGATCCAAGCAAGTTAACAAGAAACCTGTTGCTGGTGTTGCTGTCCTAGTGCTGATGTTATCAGTCACTGATACTGAAAACAGGAGGGCAGATAGGAGGGATATGGAGCAGATGGCTGTCTCCTGTAGTCAAAATAAAATGAAGCTCAAAGCTGAGTAAACAGCAGCGATAAGAGACGCATTCAGGAATATTTCATATTTTTTCCATGGTGGTTTGTTGTACCAGAACTGACTGACTGACTACAGAGTGATACTTTGAACTAAATGCTAAAGTTACCAATCTGGTCTGTTTATTATTTTAAACAGTAAGCATTTTTTTATTATTATTGCTAATTAGTTTTTAAACTGCTGAGACTAAGCTGGTTTAAGCAGGGGTTTGTTCATAAACTAAAGATTGGGGAAATTAACATTTGTGTTATCGTTACAGCTCATCTTGAGGGTATTGTGACTGATTAGTTGTTCCTCTGAACTGAAAAAGAAAAAATAGAGATGTCTAATGCTAGATAGTATAGATGCACAATATTATCAGTGTGGTATCGGTATCAGCCGATATTAGCAATAAAGTAAAATATCAGACATCAGCCATTAAATCAAAATAACTTACCGATATAAAAAGCTTCTGTTTTAAGTTAGATTTTAATTTAAGAAACTGTCAAGTATATTTATACATGCACTCTACTTATGCACTTTTCACTTGTCGCTTGTGAACAGGTTGAGTTTAGATTTGTGAAAATTGACCATTGTGCACTATTCGATTGTTGTTATTGTGTTAGAGAGTAAATGTCATGAATAAATTTGACATTAAGCATATTCCAAGTTGAAGTGTTACATCATTTTCAGCCACTTTTTGGCATCTGCATTAGGTAGCAGGCCAAACTGACAAAGACCGTACAGTATAATGTAGTGTTTTAATTCCACAGCAGAGAAGTAGTCTCTGTAAGTAGGTCTAGGAAAAAAATATTGGTATTGGTATTGATTATCGGCCAAATAAGTTTTAACATATCAGCATATCAGATATCGGCCAAAAATCCAATATCTTGCATCCCTACTAGATAGCTTAACGTTTATTTCTACAGCACCTAAACAACCTGTTAGCCAATGTGTCAGTTATAAGTATGACCCACACAAACAGTAACGCATCATTATATAGACTGAAAACAGAAAGAAACAAAGAAAATCTGTGTGTACTTATTGTTGCACAGTTTATGATTAAAATAAAGTATTAAAACTGATTACAAAATGGTTAAACTATTCTACCTGCATAATACACATGGATATATATTTTTTTTTCATCCAGAAAAGACAAACGAAAAAAAGTTTTTCTTATGGTTTCTGATCAGAAGTGTGCGATTTGTGTGACAACGCTAAAATCGTACCGCCCAGTTCACCCATTAGATCAGCTTTTTTCTTCCCTAATTTTAAAGTTAGTAAAAAGTAAATAAAATGTCATAAAGATAATTCACGTTCATCTGCTATTAAAATAATGTTATTATTATTTAAGCCATGTTTTCTGTGACAGTGCGATGTTGAGGATGTATTTAGTTATTTTACAGATGTGTGGCTCGGACAGAAAACACCCCCAGAGAACCGGGCATGTGTCATCTAGTCCAAAGAAAAGATTATGATTCGTTTCACAACAATGAGATGAGGTTACATTGTATCCAGGCGCCACCGTTTCTGAACACTAATCCAAGCAAAATGCCAAAGAATGTGCTCCTCCTCACAAGAATCACTTTGACAAAGGATGTTTTATAAAAGGGTTTCATTTTGGCACCTTTAACAGTCCGGTTAATGAAGAAATCTTCAAAAATTAGGTGCCAAATACATTTTTTAAATCCGTGCAAAATTCCATATGTTATCATAACTGTAATGCTACGCCTGTTTGTGCTAAAATAAAGTTTTAGCAATCTAAAGATAAAAAAAAAAAAGATTTCTTTATGTAAACACATCATAAATGTAGCTTTGCTGAAGAACAAAGCATTAAAAGGAAATAGTCTGGTCAATGTGGAGTACGTTTCAGTGTAAAAGCTACGAATGATTAATTTCTTACCTGTTGTACAGCTTCGTGAATTGCCTCAATTTGGGGAAAATTGAGTGTAAGTGTGACCGGACTGATGAGCTGAAGGCTAGTCTGAACACGTCTCAGACCAACACCGTTATACAACTCAGTCTCCAAAGTTTCATGGCCATTCCTTCAAACAAAGCTTTACATCTTCGTCATTTTATCATTTCAGTGTTGTATGGTTATTTAAATTTATTTACATTTATTTAAACATGAACAGCAACATGGACGTGTACTTCGCGGCGTCTGGAGGTTCACGTTCGGCAAAGTGGATTTTGCCGTCATAAAACAGCTCCAGTCTTAGAAATTTCACTCCAGTTGATGCAAATGCTAATATTTAAGCAATTACACTGCCATCAGTTTGGGATTTTTTTTTTTTAAATTTATTTGGACAAAAATATTGTTTAAATTCTGCCAAACCTGGCCTCTGGACGCTCCAGAAGTGCAACACATTTCTGCTCCTGTTACTAAAAAGCATTTAATCCCCTTGTAATGTATAATTTGACAACAGCATAAAGGTATTCGGATGTCTTGTTCATGAGTGATGGTAGGCTGGAGCGGGAGATGGACCAATGGGTCGGGTCTCGTCCTCAGTAATGAGGATGTTGCTTCAGTCAGTCGTGGTGAAGAAAATGTTGAGTGGAAAGGCAAAGCTCACAAGTGACTGGTCTGTCTACGTCCCAACCATCACCTGTGGTTATGAGGTTTGGATCATGACCGAAAGAACAAGATCACGTATGCAAGCAGCCAAAATGGACTTCCTTCGTAAGGAGGCTGGGCTCAGCCTTAGAGATGGAGGGTGAGGAGCTCAGAGTAGAGCCACTGCTCATTCGCATCAAACGGAGTCAGGTGAGGTGGTTCAGGCATCTGATTATTAGTGTTACGTCTCAGTGAAACTGTAGAGCACTTTTGTGTTTGACAAACTCAGTCCACTTTATTTAAGTACTCAGTACTCCATCATTTTATATAGGTCCAGGTAAGTAACAGGTGAAGACACTGACACCAAGAGGATGTGAGTACAAAGACTCATATCACCACCATTAAGATGCCTCCTGGACGCCTCTGTCTGGAGTTTTTCCAGGTACATCCCACTGGGAAGAGGCCCCGGGGAAGACCCAGAATTCACAGGATGGTACATCTTCCCTGGCCTGAAAGCACCTTTGGGTCACCCAGGAGGAGATGGAGAGTGTTGCTGAGGAGAGGGATGTCTGAGTTTCCCTCCAGGATAATCAGTAGAAGATACGAAGCGTCTCTTTCCAGATTTAGGTGTACTTTGGGAAAATATGGCTTATGTGATCTATGAGAAATACCCTTAAATATGGAAGTAAATTTTGGGTATACATACAAGTATATTAGAACATCTGGAGGATTTGGTCTGGATTACGTCTTTAGAGGATACAACAATCTGATAAGAATAAAAGGTCTATCGTGCCTTGAAGCAATGCATATCGCCACCCCCCCCCCCCTCCTTTTATGCCAAAGATTTCCAATGGATCATCTTATGACTGTATTGGTTAAACATTGATAACAATGTTATGCACAGTCAGTCAACTTTGGACATGCAATGATTACTTTCTAAGTGTTTTGCTAAAATCCATCCAGTGGTTCTTGACATATTTTACTAACAGACAGGCAGCGTTAACTCCACATTGTTACTAGTGGCAAAATCTTCATCAAATAAATTCTAAATTTATAACCAAATTAAACTATTGGTAAAAATTTTAGAGTTTGTGTAAAATTGATAAATCAAATAACTTGTCCTATTTATTTGATCACTTTTTCACCCTTCAGCCTAAAACCTGGAATACTTATACCTGTATACATGTATTTAAAGCTTAAAGAAAGCTTATTGCCTGGTACTTCTCCTCTCATTGTGCCACAGTTGCTCTTGAGATAGAAAACAACATGCCCACTAAACCAGCGTTACCCATAAAAGGACTAGAGAAGAGAACGCATCAATCGTTTCATTCCTCTGTCACAACGGGATCGTCACACACAAGGTGGAGGGGGTCTATAATAAACATGCATGCATTCCTCACCCCCTACCATGAAAATCTCTCATAAACACACAGCAAAGTGACCCTTATTCCAGAAAAAAAAAGCACCTGCACAGAATGCAGGAACTTTTAAAACAGCCTATCTACAACAGAGATCATGCACAAAAGCTGCAACAAGCACAAGCCTGCCTCCTGCTGCAGCTCAGCAAATTAATATGCTGAACAACACTCAGACTCATGGTAACTCCCCCACCACCACCACCAATTTAATTAACACCCACACTCACCCACAAATTCCAAAAGGCAAAAAAAAAAACATTGAAAGTTTGGCTGAGAAAGACAAGGCAGCATGGGGAGAGAAAAAAAACAGAGCAAGACAGAAAAAAAAAGTGGAGAGAGAGGCACAGAGAGGAGAAAAAGAGGAGGTGTTGCAGAGGAGGAGGGAGTCTGAGAAAGAGTTTTAAAACGGTGAGAACTGCAGGCGTTTGTGAGCACATGGAAACAGCAGCCAGAGCTGGAACAAAGAGCAGAAAGAAGAGACGAATCCATCAAAAATCACGCAGGTACAGCTGATTTTCACTACTTTTCATTCACTGATATTACCACATGTTGAACATCTGCAGAAACGCTTGCAGAAATAAACAGCTTTTAAGGGCGTGAGACAATATTTCTGTGGATTAGAGTTCGTTTCAAAATCAACTAGCGTCCAAAGCTTTTTGGTGTTTTTGCTCTTCAAGTTTTGGGCTCCCACAGAACTCGTTTGGTTTAGAGCCAGGAGAAAATGGAAGTGCTGTTCGGGGTCACCTCAAAAAGGCTTTCAGCGCTCAGATTTATTTATCTTAGTGTTTACGGGATGGAAACTAGAACGTTGTAAATGTTTAGTTGTCCAAAGCCATTTCTTAGCTGGAAAGCGTGGTTAAAAAAATTACGTGAAAATAAATCAGTGACTTAAATGGGATTTTAACAAAGACAGAAAAAGGGTCGAAAACTATATTGTTGGGAGTTTTTCATTTAACTCTTTGTCTCAAGGAAATAAAACAAAAATAATAATAATAATTTCTGCAGTTCAACATGAAGAGTTTTGGTATCTTTTAATTTATCAGTCCTGTGTTAGGCTCTCACAGGTAAACCATATTTCTGAAGTCTCTTATGAGATTTCTTACAAATACCCTTTTTTAACTGAAAAAGTGTCAACTTTTTTGTTTTGTTTGTCTTTCATCAGCTGTTTTCAGTTGTGTGTATAAGATAAGATAAAACTTTATTGATCCTGCAATAGAAAACTAAATTATATCTGTTACGCATCTAAGCTAGCTCAATATTTGGTTGAAAAGCGAAAGTATCTGTGTTTAAGTTGGTATTGATATTGTAATTGGTATTGCCAATGATGAGATAAACAGAACAAATTATCTAAAGAAACTGAAAAATCAGGATTTTCTTACGAGGAATGACAGCAGATATAACTGTGTGAGTGATGTGTTTTTGCTCACTCCACAGAAATGGCGTCACTACACAGGAACCTGACTGCACTTTTCTTGTTTGCCTTGCCTCTCATTCACTCCCACCTCTTCGCTCATGCTGCCACCACTTCCCCACCCACGACTCGTCGACGGATCAAATTCCTGACCATCGGGGGCTTGTATGATGACTATGAAAATGAATATGAGGATAACTACAGCTCTCCTCCTAAATTAGTGTCCTCCTCGGTGAAGACTTCTCTTTTTGCCACCAGGCCCAAGCTGTGTCAGTACGACCCCTGCTTGGAGTGTCAGGGGCCCTGCGAGCGTCTCGCAGCTGACACTGGGTGCCTCTGTCCTGGGATGACTGGAGGGGACGTGCCTCCCCACGCTCCACGCATCCAAGCGTTGTCACCAATCACTGAAGGGGAGAACGTAGGGAAGGTGGAGGTACAGTGGTGTGCTCCATCCTCTGTGGTGTCTTCTTACAGGGTGATTGTTGAGGGGAGAGGTGATGACACTCTGGAGTTTGGGGATGCTTCACGGCGAGGTTTGGCGGGATCTTTGGAGGTTGGGACGAAGGTGTGTGTGCAAGCAGTGAATGATGCAGGAGAAAGCAGTCCCACAGAGTTCTCCTGCAGGAGGTACAACCCCACTAAAGACTATTTACTGCTGGCCTTGATCATAGGTGGAGGTGTGGCCTTCATTCTTCTTCTCATTATTGTGGCTGTGATTCTCTGCAAATGTCAAAAGAATCAAAAGGCTAAGAGACACAGAAAAACCCCCGAGCAGCAAAGGACCGAAGGAAACCCGTCTTAAGGGATCACCAATTTAACCCAGTCTTACAGAACAAGCAGCTTAATCTGTAAGACAAAGGTGCATTTTCTTTACAAACAGAAAAAAGTTGTTTAAACTCCTGTTTCAAGGAGTACTAACACGTGTCTAAATATGTCAATTAATGGGTTATAACTACAGGTTCATTTGCTGGCAAATTAATTTCTGTAGAGTTTGTGTAGTTTTGGGGGGGGGGGGGGGGGGGTTGTATTTTTTGTCAAAACCTCCTTTTAATTGTACATGTGAAGTCATAGAGTTTAGGTGTCTGACCTAAATCTAATAAAAATATTTTGATATAAACCAACTGGATGTTCTGTTTTATTTGTTTTGAATAAAAAAATTATATGAATAAATATGTTTAATAAAGTTATTATATCCTGACATAATCTGACCACATTGTTAGACTTCTGTGACAGTGAACCCATGTAAAAACCTGCTTTTATTTTGAAAAGCCTCCAACAACAACCGTCTAGTGACCTGATTGGCTCACTCCCTAAGCCACGCCCACTCACTGTACACAAGCCAATTATGTACCAAGCATTTTGAGGAAAAAGGTGCACAGTATCCTTATTAGGAGAGGATTACAGTTCAAACTCACATCTCCACTACTAGGAACCAGGATGGACTGCTCAGGTGAGTTCATTGCACTGATTTTAACAGGAATAATTTAACTTGAAAGGATTCCTAAGCATCTGAATTCAAAAGATAAAAATTACCTGTAGCAGTTTATATTATTTATAATAAGTAGCGTATATAATACTGTTACAATTGTTTACAATTAAAGTAAATAATGTGTATTTTTTTAAAACGTTGCCTATATGAAAAGATTATCTGGACAGTATCCAGACAAAAGCAGTTACATGCACAGATCATGGTTTGTTTCTTTATCTTTATATGTCAGAGTATCTCGGCAGTCGATATGGAGCCAAACAAGAAGCTCCATGTAAAACGCGCTTTGTTACCCGAGCGTCACAAAACAAACCACGTAAAATATGTATGATCTTTGCAACGGTTGTAGCTTCACACCTAATACACACAGTTCCATGTTTCCTGAAAGAGCAGCTCATGCCAGCTCTTTTACCATTAATCTAGTATGTATTTAAGGGTTACCAATATGGCAAGGAATTGATTGCTCACAGTGAAGGTGGATTAATAACTTCTGCTACCATCACTATGATTTATGAGTGTTTTCAGCTTGTTATGCACATGCAAACGCATGTCGTTCAGCAACTTTAAAGCAATATTATAAAACATCTCATAGTATGTAGATAGTTTTTATTTAAATGTGCTCATAGAGTCACTAAAATGGCTTTGCTCTAATGGATAGGTGCATGTTCAGTAATAAAACCTATGCTTGCACGCACACGTGTAAGAATGAAATCTATAGGTCGTTGGTGTCATGTTGCACCCAACCCATCGTGCAGTCGTTGCCTCCCTCTGACAATGACTGCAAGGGAAACATGTAATCCAGCTGCTGCAGTTTCCTTTCAGTACTCATCAAAGGGAATCGTCATGTTCTTTTTCTCTGTTACTGTCAGTCTCCTACAGCGACTTGAAGGAACTCGTGGAAAAGAGCCAGGATCTAGTTTTGATTGACGTACGAACTGAAGGAGAGGTGGCAAGAGGAAGCATTCCTAGGTCCATTAACATTCCACGTGAGACATTTTTTTTTTTTTTATTTACTTCACGTGCACAACAAGGAAACAAAAACGTAATGATGTTGGCGTAGTAGGAAAGCACTGTTTTACATAATGAATGTACTGCGGTGTGCAAGTGCAAGTCCGGTTAAACAGGTTCTCTGTGCTGTGCTTAGTTGCTTGTCTCCATTTCATATTTTCTGTGTGAGTGATCTTTTATCTTGTCTTCCTTTTGTTCCAACAGTTCATTTGATAGGGACCGCTCTGCAAATGACCCCTGAGGAGTTCAAGGCCAAGTATGGGAGGCTTAAACCTGCAACAGATGCACCTGAGCTGGTGTTTCACTGTCAGTCAGGCCGGAGAGGCGAATCAGCCGTGGACATAGCCCATAAACTAGGATACGAGAAGTAAAAAAGTGGTTTACTGTTTTAATATTCTGTTTTAACGTGTATGAGACAATGCTTTATATGATGATCTGCGCCTTCTTTTTCAGAGCACGTAATTATCCTGGTGGATACAGTGAGTGGTGTATGAAAGAAAGGATCCTGTCTCATAAAGCATTTTGAACATACACATGCAACAGTGAATTTTTTTTTATTTAGTTGGTTTGCATACATTGTATTGAATACTGATGATGAAAATGGCACACACATGTAATAAATTATGCTATTTATTCTCATAAACCTCTGTGCTGAGATTATTTTTGAGAATGTATTTTCTACACAGGCAAAGGTGAGAACAACTCCACCTATGACAGTGTTTAAATTACACACTTTCAAGACAAGCTTTTGACTCATCTGCCACTGACAGAATAGAAAATACAGAGTAATAGTAAGTTTATTATCATTTATAAAAAGTATTAGCTCAAGCCAGAGCAAGCAAACAATATAGGATTTTCATTTAAAAATTTTATAGACACCCTGACCTAAACCCAATTTATATGACAAATGTAACAAATAATCTCATTTAACCTCAATTAAGTTTTGAAAATCTTTCTTGTGTTATGTTGTTTTTTGTTTCATCAGATTGCATTGGTTATAAATGACTGTGTTGCTGAAGAAAAAGCAATTTGGTTGTATTGTACTTAAATGTGACATTAATGAAAATTGGTCTATTGTGTATTTGAATCTAAAAATATTATGTATGCAAAAAATTGAATGAGCATTTTTAAAGCTATGTAAATACCCATAATAATTATTTGCTTGGTATTTTAGGAAATACAACAAACAAGATTAGTTAATTTTTTTAAAAACACACATAAAGCTGAGGATGGCGTTTAAATTTTTGATTATTACTCTGCTTTGAAGTTCACAATAGACAACAGTTTTTGGAAATAAAAATAAAAGGTCAATTTTTAAGCTCAATAATTATTTATTTAACCATCTGTCAATTGTAAATTGTTGATGAGTGAATAAATAGAATTGGGGGGGTAAGGTGTCTATAACCCTACTACAACAGCAGATCCTCTTCAGAGCGCATGCGCAGCGCCCGCCGTTCAACTTATTTTAGAGCAAGGAAGAGGGCCGGCAATGGAGGAGGGGGCGTACCAAAGAGACCATCTTATCACAAGCAGAACTGGTTTGTTCCACTTTGGAGTAAGCTGTTGGGGGAAGAATCAGTTTTGTTGTGTGTTTCCTTGACTGATGAAGCCTTCCGAACCGAAGGCGAAACGTTTCAGCACAAAAAAAAAAGAAGAAACTGTCCAGATGACCGGACTGAAAAATGTTGGATTGTATACCTGGATTATTGAGCATGAACTTAGTTATTTTAGAGCACTAGTCACGTGACTAAGATTGCGCAACACCAAACAGGTATATGTTTCAATGGCAGTGCTTTTCAGCTGGATTTAAACTTGAAGAAAATCGATAAAATGACACTGTGGATTGGTGAATTAAGCAAGGATCACCAAAATATTATGCGTACCATAACAGTGACTCATGGCACTGCCATCTTCCTCACATGGAAGGAGTATTTTCTGTCACTTTTCAAACATAAAAGCCAAAATGATCACTGGATTAGAGCAATGGAACAAGCTGGCTGGATTTGTCCAGGCACAGACATGAGTCGGTCACACATTCTGTGATAATAACTGCGTACACAAATTTTAGATATCATGGTCTAAACTTCTTAAAGATGCAAAAACAGTTAAGACAATTACCAAAATCCCCACTTTTTTTTATGAATTCTGCCCATTTTCCAGTCTGTTGAAGACCTCAACACTCCAGACAACACTTCAACTTACATTTGTGTATTTACTGAAGTCAGACATGTCCAACTTTTTGTCGGGAATCTCTTTTTGGTTGAATCTTGTTGAAGCCATGTTGTTGTACTATTAACATCCGGGTTACTGCGAGAGGGGACAGTGCACGTGGTTTATCTATGTAAACGATGTGCGTGACGTCATGAGCGGAGCTCACGCTCACCATTATGACGGCTTGTGTTAAAGTAGAAAAATAAAAATGCTGCGAGAAATACGACAGGTGGTTTGAATTACTTTGTTCTAAAATTAAAATAAAACCTATTTGGTGTGTATAAAGTATTTAAACCGTTCCTAACCTGTTTTAAAAAAAGCTAACATTGACAAAAAGCTAATTTTTAAGATAAATTAGCATTAGCTCGCTAAGCTAGGAGTTTGCTTTTTTCTACAGGCGTTCCGGGTGATTATGCTAATGAGCAGGCAAAGAAAACAACGTGGTTTAAAGGCCTCTGGGGGGCTTTTGGTGCTTCTGTGGACTGACACGGGGTCTCAAAGGTTAAACTGCACTGGTAAGATATAATAAAACATCCGAGAAAATATTCTTATGTTAGCTATGCACTCAGATTAGCAAAGTAATGCTACTAGCATTGCTAGGTGGTTCAATTGTGTCTTCCTAATCTCTCAATTCGAAATTTTCATGAAACAAAGTTTGCATTGTTAGAAACAAGACTTTTGTTTTTCTTTTTTGTTGTACACTTTTAAAAAACAAGCAAAATTTAAGTATTTTCATAGAAAAAAATTGACAACTTCAGTCTTCCTTACCTTTAGAAAATATTTAAACAACATTGTTTGAATCAAAAAAATGTAGATGAAAACCATTCAATGTTCAATGACAACATTCCTCGTTCATAGTATCTGGTAAAATTTGAACAATGACATGATTTTATTTTAAATGTCATAATTTCCAGGTCGTTTTGGAAGATGGCATCCAGTTTTTATCATTATAACAAGTTTTAAAGAGTAACTAACTGTGCCCAGCATTTGTCATGTCTTTTGTGATGTAGTTGCAGCTGCTGGTCCTTGGTGTGCAGGAGTTAAAGTGAAAGCACTTCATCCTGGTATGTGTTCACGCAATAATGTAAACAAGCAGTCATGAACAGCTTTATTTGCTGCATAATCTCATGTTGCGCTTCACAGATTTGAAGAACAGCCTGCATTCTCATGTGTGGCCGTGTCCTGAGCTGGACCCTGAAGAACTGAGTGTCTTTTTAGATCTGTATGGGGTGCTCAGATTACTACAGACTTTTCAGGTAATTCCAATCTTACGTTTTATTAGACATAGTAATACCTATTTTGTATTAGACAACTGTTTTTAAGGAGTGCAAAATGACATTAATTTTTGTTTTCTTTTACTTCACAAATCAAAGTTTTGCCTGTAACAAATGTTTCCTTTTTCGCAGATGAAAGATGCAGGCTGTTGTGTGTCAAAGTGGCAATCTCACATTGAGGCATTTCTTCGGACTTTCAGTTTGACTAATGCAGGGGTATGTAAAGATTTGCGTCACTGTTCAGTCATCTGTAATGACAATGAGAAAATCTGATTTGCATTGTGATTTTTTTACAGATAAAGATTCATCTCAAATTCAGATTTGCTCAGCAGACTGTAAAACATGATCTCAGGTAAACCTCACAGGAAACAGTCATAGTTTATCGTTTCACAGCTTCTTGTTAAATTATTTCACAAAAGTGAGATTATTTTACTGGCACACTCTTTTGTGCCAGAGTTATCAGAATTTACATATTTTGCGTTTGGTGCTTTAGAATATAGTTAACGTAAAAATGTTCATAGTTGACTTCTGACAAAAACTATTATTGTAAACTTTTGTAGCTGAGATAACACCCAAGGACTTATTAGATAGGATTTGAGTGAAATAATTTAGTAATTATAATATAAAAAAAAAATAAAGACTGATGTAGCAGCAAAAAAAATACACTGAAAAATAAAATCACAAGGAGTATATGAGGAGTAAATGGAGAACCAACCAGTCTGACTGAACAAAAAAGAATTTTAAATGTCCTGTGAGCGGTAAAATAAATGGCTACAGCTGGGGCTAATGATAATGAGGACCAGGTGTGAGATGAAGGGTAAAAGTTGTTTAAATGACACAGGGGAGAAGCTAAATGCTTACAGAGTAAAATAAGGAAACGCATGACAAAAAATTTAACTGAATCCATCCATCCAGCTTCTTTACCCGCTTCTCCTTTCCGTGTCACGAGCGGCTGTTGTCTAGCTCCTGCTGTCACTGTGAAAGAAGCGAGGTTCAACCTGGACAGTTAAAAAGTCCATCGCAGGGACAAACAAGACAAGCACCCATTCATGCTCTCACCCATACTTAGGGACAATTTAAAGTTATTATTTAACCTAACATGCATGGTTTTGTTCTGTGGGAGGAAACTGGAGTGCAAGAGTATAAAATGCAAACTCTGCTCAGAAAGGCTCCAGACTGGGGGGGCAAACCTGTGACCTTCTTGCTGTGAGGTGGCAGCTGTAATCACTGTTCCAGCATGCTACCCCTAAACTGAATCCACAATAATAATAATAAATAAATAAATAAAATCAACCAAAAAAAAGGTCTCGACAATTAAGTGTTTTTTTTATTTTTTTATTGCAGAATTTTTGTTTTTATGAATTTGAATTTAATGGTTTATACACAAATAACTAAGTTAAATGTGTTGAATTGAAAGGCAGGTGTGATTCACAGATCTGTTCCACCGCATTGTTTTCAGAAGTGTTAATATTTTGTCTTTATTTCTGCAGAGCCAAAATCAAGAGTAAAGTTGCACAGGCAGACCAGCTGCCTCTGATCTTGGATGTCACTTGTTCTGCACGGTCAGTAATTGTGTTTCAATACTGTTTATGTTGTATAATACTGGTTATATACATTTTCACTTGAATAAAAGAGCATTAGAATACCAACTGTACATAATATACTGTAAGAACAGTGTTGTCTGTCTTTAAAGGCCTTCGTGGTGTGTTAGGAAAGGATGTTGGTGTCAGGGAGGACATCCTGTTGTTGGAGGAAGGTTGCCACTCAGCATCCCACCACAAGTCATGGATCAAGGCCTGTTCGGGGAGCTCAGTGTCCAGTTTGTTACACTCCTGAGGCCGTGTGTGCTGCAGTACCCCAACCTGCTCACAGAGCTGACACGCATACATATATCCTTTTTATCGTTTTACTATAATTCTGTTGTATATGTCATGTAGACATGAGTTGTAGGAAATAACTTAAAAGATGGAGTCATTATTGCTTTTTTTGCTTTCTAAATTTGCCGTTGCTCAGCTGCTTTAACCGCATGGAGACTTCCGGTGAAGTGGCTTCTGTCTTAAATAGGAAAACAGAGACGAGAGCAGACACCTCAGAGCCTAAAGCCTTGGCTCCCTGCCAGAAAGTGGTGACTGGCTCCCTTTGGGTCCCGTCTCAAAGGGTTCAACTATTCTGGTTCGGGATCACGTGTCAGAGAAATCGCTGAGTCATGCTTACACAAACCTAGTTTATGAAACATTGTCATCCAACCACATTTACAGTCAAGCATATTAATAACATGTCCCGATTACCTAATTATTTATTTTTCATTCATTTGACCTTTATTTTTACAGCTTTGACTCATTCGCAAGAGAGACCTGTTCTATATAAAGAACACAGGTACAGGTACATTAAAGTTATAGTGAAAAATACAGATTACTACAAGTAAATCAAAGTGTTACACACATTTTGACACACAATAACGGTTATAAAATTTTCATTGTTTGCCACAGCGGTTCACACAATGTGAAAGGAGTGCCTATCTTTAACAACACAGCTGGAAAGCCGGTTTAACAGCTGGGGTGCATCGGACCGTTACATGCTTAAATAAGACTCTTTTTGTGATGTTTCCAAATCCTTGAGGTCTTAAGAAATGTTTATGACATGCTTCGGTCAAAATGACACGAAAACAATGAGCAACAGCAGCCTTTTCAATCATAACTGAACAGCTCTTTTTAGCTCTTAGTTTCAGAGTCTCTTAGTTTCTGAATCATATTTCATGGTGGTATCCTACGCCTGGATTTGAAATGTCCCCTGGGCTTTGAATTTGAAGTCAGAATGAATTGTGGTTAAAATTTTCCACTCAAAAATACAACGCCCTTCAAGAATCACATAAGCTGTTGCTGATTTTTATTTTTCACAGGAGCTTCAGCAAGTTATTGCCTATCGATAATATTCAGTTCAATTAAGTTTATTTTTATAGCACCAAATCACAGCAAAGTTGTCTCAGGGCACTTTACAGGAACATTCACATACATAGAAAAGCCCATAAGTAAAGTCCTCTATCTAAAGAAGCCAGCAGACTCGTCGACTCTTTTATAATAATATATAAAGATGTCATGAATCCCTGAACTGATTTAATCTTGTTTCCAGTCTTTTGTTAAACTAACCCAGTTTGGGAGAAACCAGTTAGAATTTCCAACTTCTGAATCTGAAAAATAAAATGAAAGACCAGCAATGAAAAGTCAGATTTCTTGAATACAAAGCAGTAAAAGCTCTGGTTGATCAGCTCATGTCTTGCTGAAGTTTGTTGACCTGAAATGATTATTGGTGACTATTTGCTTTTGGCAACAGAACTAAATGCAAACGCAGAAGAGTTTTAACTTCCCACGCCTGAGCTGAATTGAACGCAGCATAGTTTAAAGTCTAGAAGGGGAAGATTTACAATTTTACTGTGACGTGGGTTTCTGATTATTTTTTCCTTGGGCAACTTTTTTGCTCTCTGAATAAGATATTTTTGAACCTAGACAGGTCTATTAAGAACTGACAGTGTTGGTTTGTTTCTGAGTTAAAAGTGACTGCAAATATAAAATACAAATATATTTTAGAAAACCTCAGCTGTGGAGCTTTAGAACAACCAAAAATAAAATGGTATTTAAAAAAAACTAATTGTAAATCATACAAAGGACGCTGATAGAAATGCATGAGGAGCTTGGTACTAAATGAGATATAACGGTCGACCTGCTGCTTCTCATTGGTGACCGAGTTGATTTGACCGTCTGTTTTTAATTATTCATCCTTCACTTAACATGTTTTCACGTGTTAACATACAGCCCCAGTAATATTCCTGTGCCAGGTCCATTTAACTTCTTCAAAGGCCTTCCTGCTGCTCTGGACTGTCAACAGCTGGGTCTGGACAGAATCTACTGCTCCTCATTCAAAGGTAAACAACAAGCACTGCTGGGAACAACACGCACTGATGGCCAACATGCGCTGTAGGTCTGTAGCTCCAGGGCTTGGTTTCCTAATAAAAATGTGGAAATTGGGTAGGATGGATGTTCTGGACATTTAATTCTATCTTGTAAAAACATTCTAAAACAATTAAAAACACAGATTTGTTCTCCAACAACTGGAGGGTCTAAATTTTTGAGGGTTAAATTCCACAGAAAGCCACATGTTTATCTGTGAGAGACTGTGAATAGAGCTCAGGCTGTAGAAAACCTAATGAAGCCCATAAGATCATAATTAAAATGAAAGAATAAAAACCAGGCGTGTAAAGAATGTCAAATATATCTAAAGTGGTAGCAAATGAAGAGAAACGTATGCTTTCCTTTTTGTTGCCAGTGGTTCAACATCTACTTTTATACTGTAAGTCTCATTTCAATTTGAAAATCCATCTGTATAAATTCTGCTTATGCGCAGTTTGGGAAGTATCCTCTGCATATTCAGTAGATCTTAAGTAGAGTGTGTGCATTGCTGTCTAACCGTGTGATAATCTGGCTCCAGAAAAATGTGTACATCTGCCATATCATATTTTTGCAGCGTTGGTCACCTTTAGGGTGTGAAATGAAGCCACGGATCTCTGCACACTTACTTCCCAGCACTCGCTAATACTCCATTTGTGTGTGTAGTCGTGTTATTGCTGTAATTTGGGAGGACGTGGTGTTTCCCTTGGCTCACTGGTAATGTTAGTGTAACTACATCATCACAATAAAACGCTCAGATGCTGATGTTGACAGATGTGCTCTACATTCACTGTAGTGTTTTATTAGACTTGTGGGTATTTAGCCATGAAGCAAAGTATTTTGTACAGTGCAAGTCCAAAGTTGGAGGAATACTGAGGCCATTTAGACCAAAATGACAGTTGAGGGAAAAATCTAAACGCGATCTAAAATATAAACATGTTTCCTTTACCCATTTGTTTGTGTTCAGAGTCACAGGGTCCCTGTTTCATGAGTCACTGGGCAAAAGGGTAACCCCTGAACAGTCACCAGTCCGTCTCAGAGATCAACAAAACAACCATTCGCCTTCAAATTACAATTCAGAGTAGTCTAACATGCATGTTTTTGGTCTGTGGGAGGAAACCGGAGTACTCGGAGAAAACCCACGCATGCACGGAGAGAACATGCAAACTCCACCCAGAAAGGCCCCTAGCCGGGATTTGATTCAACGACCTCGCTGAGAGGCAACTGCGCCACCGTGCTCCCACAGCTATACAGGCTTGCGTTAATAAAATAAACTTGGTTTACAAAAATCTAGTTACATTTATGTTTTAAAAGTAGCAATACAAAAACTAACGGTGTTATCAGGCTGGATATGATTAGGATTGTCTACGACAAGAAATACATCCAAACAATTAGTGATAATTTTCTCTTAATATTTAGAATTCTGCCTAATGATAATTTTACACACAGATTTTGAATGCCATACTGGTCTCCTCCATGTCTTTTGTGCTCTCTCTGTCACACACACACACACACAACTTATTTTTGCATAACATCCAAGCATGCCTCATGCCTTGACGCAAACATCGCCACAGTTACTGAAACAAATATTCTCAACAAGTTGTTCAATTGGAAACAATGCAGTACAGCCTTTTATTTTTTTAACAAGTTTAGGAAACATCTTTAAATCATGTTAAGGAAACAACTTTTAGATATTCAACTGAGTTCAGTTTATTTATGACACTAATTCACAGCAGAATTCATCACAGGGCATTGGACAGAAACATTCATATACATAAATGTGAACAGACTCAGCAAACTCAACACTGAACGCTTCATCAATCTCTAAGTACAATTTAGTCCAGCAAAGCTAATTCAATGTTTTCATTTAGCGGCAAGAAGAATAGTCTTGTTTCTCATAAACTGACTTCTAAATTACATTTTTCCAGAAGTAGAATATGCTGTAAAGCAAAAGCAAAACTCCAGGTGTGTGTAATCTAGCAATAGTTTGTTTCTAAACTGCAACACTGAATCATGACAGTTGAAGTTTCTGTATTCCAGAGAATTTGCATCCCATTTGTTTACTGAAATTAGACTTGAGCAAAACAAGGAGGCAGCGGTGCGGAAACAGGGACAAATAGCTCAGAAACGGAGCAATTAAATTAACTGTTTAGTTATTTTCCCAACCCAAAGGAGTTTCCGTTAACAATTTTTTAAGTTAGATTTTGTGATTACAACCCTATTAATGTGCCCTAAATTTTAATATCTTGAAATTTTCCATTACTGGTTAATTATCATCTTATTTTTTTAATTTTATTTTACACTCGTCTCATGCAGATTTTGTGCACAGCGGTGACATTGTGTACTCTGTGGAGCAAGAAAACTGGGAGGATCCTGAGCAGACACCAAGTCATGTCCCGGTGCAGCAGAGTCTCCTACTCTTCCTCTTCTTACAACATAGTGACCCCTTCACCTCTGAGGTCACTGATATTATTGGTGAGAAACCACTTCAGTATGTGTAATCACAGAACACCAGGCAGAAACATATTCTTCTTACCAGTCTTATTTAGTTTTTAGTCCTGATACGAGTTTCTTTATCTGGCCTGTCTAGCAGTAAGTGCTGTAAATATATTTTATTAGGAATATTTTCATTTGTGTTGTCTTGTCTTATAAATCCACTCCCTTCAAGCCTGGGCCACATTTAGTTCAGCTTAACCAGGATAGTAACAATACTGTCTTTGAAGGGGTGCAACTGTGATCTTCTCACAGCTGCTGAGATGTTGTTAGAGCACCACCTGGAGGACATTCTGTGTAACAACAGGCAGGCCATCTCCTCATCTCTGCAGGCTGAACTCTGCAACACTCTGAAAGCAAGAAATCACAGAAAAAGGGTAAAACATGAATACATACACAAAGACCTTTTATTCGTTAAACATTATTCATAGTAAAACAGTAATTTGATGAATTAGCTGCCAAGAATAACAAAAAGAAAATGATGTGGAAATATTTGAATATCCAACTTGTCGCTTTAAATATCTTTGTAACGTAAGAGAAGTTATATGCAAGTGTGAGTTTGGAGAGGCAAGACAAGCAACATGTTTCTAAAAACACTGTAGAAAAGCAATTCTCAACAGCCACTTGTTAAAAAAATAACTCACAAAGAAAACAAGCGTTAATTATTATGCAACATGTTTTGATTAAAGCAACAAGAAAAGCTGCAGTCGGCTGCAGACGTGATTCTCTTTTCCACCATCAGTATTGTGAGCAGCAGCAGTAACAAGGACTTCAGAAATGCCTGTCTGAACCGCATGAAGGTGTGAGAAAACTGTCATTTAAACACTTCTTTGAATATGCTTTATTATTAACAAACAAAAACAATCTGACGTGTACACACTTGGTGTTTGTCAGGTGCACGACACTCATGCGTTGTCTGTCTCTCTTCGAGACTCTCTGTGGAGGGTGACTTCATGGAAATTTGTCCACAGTGGAAAGTGCTATTCCTCTGAGGTTACTGCGGTATTTGTTTTCCACCACACATTGATATGCATCTGTTTTTCAGCTTAAATCTACAGTTACATTATTCTTTTAACAGGTGGACGAACAACCTGAGCATAATGAGCCTACCAGAGTGGAAATCTGATGATGCCACTTTGTTGTTTTTCCCCTGACTGTGAAGGTGGTTCAGAGTTTAATTTTATTTACACAGTGAAGGGTTTGGTTTATATAATGTAACTCTTATCTCAGATGTACTGTTATGAAATTTAAAAATATATACCTCTAACTTACATGACTGTGATTTAACACAATTCTTGGATATGTCTAAAATAGATTTAAGGTTTAAATGCTCCAAATATTTTATATATCCCATCTTGGTTGTTTTTTTTTTGTTTGTTTTTTTAACATAAAAAAAGGAAATAAACTGATTGGTATGAATATACTGTCTACTGTTGTTGTTTTTTTGTTTGTTTGTTTTTGTTATTGATTTTTTGTGTGTGGGTTTTTTGTAACCTTGTTTGTGTATTGAAAGTACCTGTATAAAAAATATTTCAGTGTTGTACAAATCAGACCAACGTTATTTGGAAGTTTACTGCTTGGTGGGGAAACAATTTACTAGAAATCCTCTGACTGATGAAGCCCTCCAGATAGAGGGCGAAACGTTTCTATAAAAAAAGAAACTGTTCAGATGACCCGACTGAGAATTATTGGAATTGGTACCTGGATGATTGAGCATGAACTTTGTTGTTGTTTGGAAGTCTAAAAAAGTTAAATCAGATCCTCTAGACGGGTTCAAAAACTTAACTTTTTACTTAACTTTTACTTTTTTAGATTACTTAACTTGTTTTGTTTTTTTTTTAAGATTAACCTTTTTTGATCAGTTTAATTGGAAGCTTTTATTTTGAAGCTCCGCAGACTTCCGCGCTCAAAAAAAAATGACGTAAGTTCCGGCCGCCAACACCGACCGTCTTTTTACGCGGTAAAATGAAATGAGCTTTTATGTGGACCATATTCTTTCATTGTTCTTGCATGAGACAATTGACAAATAGTATTTAGGTGTAGCTAACTTTTTGAGATTACGTTTTAGGAATAATCTTGTTATGAAGCGAAGACTAAGCTAACGTTAGCCGCTAAAGTATCAGCATAACAGGATCGTGTGGAGGTAGACTTGGTTTTTTTTATCCGAAACCATGGCAGTGTCTACTGCAGAAAGCTTAAAGGCAGAACTGGAGGTGTTTGGTTTTCCCTGCGAGGATGAAGTCATCGATAAAAGTGAGTATTTTACCTAACTTTGGTATTAGTTCAGCTTATTTAGATTTCATTTGTTGTGGTTATGTATTATTTGCCCGTGTACTAAGCAGGTGTACATGGTTTTGAATTTACTGCTCTTACTTTGTCTGTGTCTCATTTGTTGCTACTTATCCAATAATATCTGCTTTCCTTCTTTCTGGTGGTCCACAGTGGTTGAACAGTGCATCTGTCTCAGGTTACAAGCAACTGAGATGGCAAATGAGTGGGTGGCCTACACTTCCACAAAAAACATTCAGCAACTCACCTTGGACACCTGGGAGCAATTTGAACACGAGGTAAAAAAATTAATGGCTTTTGACACAATCTAAGATGTTGATGTTTACTTAATTTTATGTTGTTTTTTTTTGTTATTTGTTTGCTGCTTTGCTTTTGGAGCTAATATGTGTTGTGACTGTTGTGCTTTATTTACTTATTGACTAACTACTGGTATATAGCACTTCCTGTGGTTGTTTAAAGGGCTTTATAAATACAGCTCGTATGGACTGGTGAAGGATGTGTTTTATTTAAAGCTAGTGTTGATAATATTTATAAGTTTATTTTTATACTTAATATTTTAATATCTTTTGAGTGTAACTGAGACCTTGAGTACACAGTTTCGTTCCACCTCATGTACCACATGTGATGTGATTGACAATAAAGAAACTTGAAGTTGTTTATAGGTTATACACATTGCATGTCTTAATAATCTGTATCAAATGATGAATATCTTAGAATGTCAAATATTTAGTCAGTTTAAGCAGTTTCGTACTAACAAAGTTTTTTTTTAATTCACATATGTGTCTTCATGTTTTAGCATTGTGTCACATGTATCCTGGATTGGGTTTCCATTTGTTGGCATTGCTTGTGTTATCATCACACTTAAAACCTCTTTCACTCCTTTTCTATTCTGATTTTTTATTTTTTTTTGCAGATCTTACACAAGAAGAACAAATCTAAACCAAACTTCAGAAAAGAAGATTCTTATAACAGACCCATGGACTTTCAGTCATTACAAGAAATGTATCTTTCAGAGCAGACTTAAATTTACCTTCACCGCACAATTATTATCAAGGATTTCTGTGGCGAGTGATTTGTGGCCTTGACACAGTTATTTTCTAGAATAAAAGAAGAAGAATTTGAGGAGGATCTTTTAGACTCTTATTCTACCCCTGGAAAGGTAAGCTGTCATTCAGGCTTAGCACAACTTTTATTTTCTCACAGTTAACAGTTATTATACACTTTATTATTCTACAATCAGTGTGTTGATCACGTATTGGTTGCAAATTGTATTTGACTGTATGATGCGTGTGGTTACTGTTAAACAATATTGCTGTATAAATTAGCCATGATGCCAAGTCTCATAATATCTGTATTTGTTTGGCATTTGCAACCATGCTTGTAGGGCTCTCAGAAACGAGCACTGACCACTCCAGAACATCCTCGGTCTAAACGGAGTGCAGCTCTGCTGGCCAGCCCCACCCTGCTGCTGTCTCCAGCCAGCTTCTCCCCCAGGTAGGACACAGGCTGCAGAAAGAGCTGTTCACACTGAATATTTTTTTATTTGTCATTTGTTAATATGACTTACTTGTTGCAGGTTAAATTTTACTATTTGGTGCATTATAAACTGTTTCACTTTATTATCACAAATTATCTGAAATGTTTTTAAATATGTTTGTGTATGATAAAGAACGCGTTTGATTTAACTGGGTTTATTTCTTTATGGAAGTTCTACGCCCTCACCAAAGTACAGCCAGCGAGGAGGGAAAGGGGAAGTGGTGGTGACGTTCGGGGCCGTTCAGGGGACCCGTTGGGTGGGCAGGAAGGATCCCGGTGCAGGCGTCCAGGTGGAGCTTCTGGAAAGACCTGAAGATTGCCTTAGCTGCAGCTACAAATTCATGTTCCAGAGACTCAGGGATGTTCGAAATGGTAAGTTTCACTTTTAAAGTAGTGTGAGGTTAAGGTTTTAAAGTTAGGTTTATAAATCTGTTAAAATTTATATATCGAGCTTGTATAAATAAATCTACATCTAAATTATTTTGTGCTTATTTATTGTCTAGTGTTGACGGAGAAGATTGAGGATTTGGGACAAAACCTGAAGTCTCACTTCAACATTGAAGAGTTCTCTTGTGTCTCTCTGCCTGCTCAGGTCAGGATCTTGTAAAACAATGATTTAATGTTGCATTATCCAACACTTTAAATAAGCTGTACCCTGTTCTCTGCAAAGGTCTTCATACCTTTTAGTGCGTTTTGCTTCCAATGAGATCTTCTTGTTGGTCTTCATAATCTTCTAGACCCTTTTGGAAGTATTTCAAGTTTCTCTGAAGATTTGAGCTTCTGTTCACAAACTTTCAGTTATGTCCTTTCACTTGACCATTTTTCAAAGACACTTGATGCAACCAAAGTAAACTCGTTCATTCCAACTTTGCCCTGTGTTGTAGCTAAAGATGCACAATATTATCGGCATGGCATCGTTATCGGCCGATATTAGCGATAAATTTTAATATCGGACATCGGCCATTCCGTCAAAATAACACCGATATAAAAGGCTTCTGTTTTAAGTTAATTTTTAAATTAAGAAACTGTCAAGTATATTTATTAATGCACTACTACTTATGCGCTTTTCACTTGTCGCTTGTGAACAGGTTGAGTTTAGATTTGTGAAAATTTACAAATGTGCATTGTTCGAGTGTTGTCATTGTGTTGGAGAGAGTAAATGTCATGAATAAATTAGACAGTAAACATAATCCAAGTTGAAGTGTTACATCATTTTCAGCCGCCTTTCTAGCATCCACCATTTGGTAGCAGGTCAAACTAAGATCATGCAGAATAATGTAGTATTTTAATACCACAGCAGAGAAAGCTATATGTAGTCTCTCTGGGTCTATGGGGGAAAATATCGGTACTGGTATCGGTTATCAGCCAAATAAGTTTAAACACATTGGCATAGCAGATATCAGCCAAAAATACAATATTGTTCATCCCTAGTTGTAACAATAAATAAGATGGTGTTGCTGATTTTAACTTATTAATTATTTTATTAACCTTTTATTTAACCAGTCAAATCCCATTGAGATCACAGATCTTTTTTGCAAGGCAGACTAACACATGTTTTTGGTCTATGGGAGGAAACCGGAGTACCCGGAGAAAACCCACGCAAGATCGAGAAGAACATGCAAACTCCACACAGAAAGACCCCAGGTCCAACTGGGGATTGAACCCCAGGACCTTCTTTCTGTGAGGCAACAGTGCTAACCACTGAGCCATCGCTGCTAATTTTGTCATACTGTGCTAAACAGCCCTGCTTGTAGTTGACGTTTATAAAAGTGAATCCAGGCACTTGCAGAAGTTGAAGCTCTGGCTGTTTAATTTGCAGCCAGACTACCTTATCATGAGCAATGATGTGCAACGAAGTTTTGTAATTTGTACAATAAATAATGACCTAAGTGTTTATTGTGATGTTCTCATCTGCAGGACAGTGTAACTGTGTTGGGTCAGATTTGCTGTGACAGTAACGGCAAACTGAACGCACAGTCGGTCCTCCTGGAAGCTGGAATAGAACAGGGTGGTCAGCACGTTCCTGTTGACCTGTCTGAGCTTACAGAGTATTCTCTCTTCCCTGGTCAGGTAATAAAACTTGATGTAAAGGTCAAAGTCACAGAGGGTTTGTTCCTACATCCTGTTTATGTAATAACTTGTTCATTTTTATGCACCACTGTGAGATCCATTCCACTCCAGCCATTCCTGACGTTTCTGTTAAATGTTTTTATACCGTAAGTTGCTGTATTGGAGTGCAAAGTGGTACTGATGAGCATGTTGAGGCTGGTGGTTCTCTCCTTTGCCTGTGCACTGAGGTTAGTGTGCAGCAGGTTATATGGCCACCAAGAGAAACAGAGCATGCCAAGGACGTTGGCCGGAGACTAGCTCGGCGTCCGACCGAGAACTCTGACAACCACGAACGAGTATTTAAAGGCATCCTGCCACAAACCAAATGTTTCTGCTTTAGATGGACTTGATTCACGTTTTAAATTTAAACTAAACACCTTTTTTCTCAGGTGGTGGTGATGGAAGGGATGAACGCTACAGGAAGAAAACTTGTGGCTTCTAAACTTTATGAGGTGAGCTACAAGTTTTTTATTTTTTTCAAGTTTGGAGTGGAACATAGAACCTGATTATTGTGGTGTTTTTCATCGTTGTCTTCACTCAGGGAGTTCCTCTTCCTTTTTACACCTCAAATGTAAAACTGGAGCCTGACGAAGGTAAATGACTGTTAAAACTTTGTAGAGTAGTAGCATGTTGGCCATTCCTGTTTAAATAATGTTCTTTTTTTATTGTTATAAAGTTTTATTCATTAAACAAAACAATTCTTTATACAATAAGAAATACAATAACAAAATGAAAGACAGCAGAAAGAAGAAAAAATCTCATATCCGCCCCTTTTTACCAAAAAATTAATTAAAACAGTTACAATCTTCAAATAACAAAAACAAAATAAATAACTGCTTCTCGAGCAACAACTCATACAAACACACTTTAAGCTATTTCATATTTTTTTAACAAATCAACTTTGATCATTCTCTCAAACATAGACATTGATCTGGCATTTTTAACATCACTCTCCAGATTATTCCATAATCTAATTCCTTGGATTGAAGTAAAACCGTCCCTTCAAACTAGTTCTAAATTTAGGTTTCACAAGTATCTCTGTCCCCTTAAGATTATAACAACTTTCTCTTTTAATAAAATTTAATTGGATATTTAAAGGTAATGTGTTATTATGAAATAATTTTCTTTTAATTAATAAATGAGAAGCATTTGTTCAGTTGTTTGTCAAAGTTTTTTCTTAAATCTGCACATGGTCTCCTTCGCTCCCAGAGCCACTGAGTGTACTTGTGGCCTGTGGACCGTACACGCCCTCTGACAGCCTGAACTTTGACCCTCTGCTGGACCTGATCGCTGTGATTGTCAGGGATCGACCTGATGTCTGCTTGCTGGTAAACGTCTTCCAACATCGATCTTCATACGACTTCATGGTAGAAGATTGTGTGACAGCTTTGCTTCTTTGTTGCTACAAATCATTTTAAATCTTAATGTTATCTTTTAGGGCTTTACATTCTCAAACAGCTTGTTATAAAGCTGAATAAAGTTTTTCACATCGGTCTGAATCTTTCACTTGTCCAACCTGAGAACATTAGTGGGTCTTCAGACTCTTTTAAAGCGGTCTCAACTTGACTTGAGTTATTTTGAATTGAAAGTTGATTTATTTAAAAAGCAGCAATTTAGTTAAATTTTTTTCTTCTTGTTCAGACCAGCTTTTATGCTTTAGGATCTTTTCTCCTCTTTTGTGTCTGTTTATTATTGTAATGTTAAACACTTTGTGGTTTTGTCTGAAAATGCTTCAATATTTAAAAATAATTTCTTGCAGTTGGGCCCATTTGTGGATTCGAAACATGAGAAAATTGAGGTACAGTTTCATTTGCTCCATCTTTGTTTTCCTTTAAGAGCAGTGAACTTGTATGTACACTTCCGTGAGGCTGTTTATTATTTGTGAATGTGTATCATCACGTCTGTCTCCACCTGTTTCTCTGACAGAAAGCTCAGGTGAAAGAAACGTTTGAAAGCATTTTCTCAAGATGTATTAAAAGCATCGTGGATGGCACCAAAAAGTACGTTATATCTCCTACACAGAGTATAAAATAATTTTAACTCTGTGGTTAGATCACATTATAAAACAGAAGACAAAAGGTGGGGACGTCTGTGTTTGGGCATTTATTTCAGTATTGTAACGATGATTCTTGGCAATAAATCCTCTAACGTTGAAAAGCCATTTTATCTCACGTTAACTGGTGCCACATTTGTTAGCAAAATCTCTACAGCTGGTAATAGGTGCCTGATTGTCAGCATTTGTAAGCAGCCATTGGTAATCTCATGTCTCCACAGTCTGGGATTAGACTTGTCCTCCAGGATGACAACACTCACCCCACAGTGCAGGGTTTATCTGAGACTACCTTCATAATTTGGGAGTAGAGAGGCTGGAATGGCCTGCCTGCAGTCCTGACCTCAATCCCACTGAACACCTGTTCTGTTTGTTCCAGCAGGACTCACACAAACATATAGGCTGACTAATGACAACTGCTGGTTGAGGAAGAGAATTACAGCAGCGAGAGTGACGAAACTAGTGAGCAACATGAGGAGGAGGTGTCAGGATGTTGTGGCTGTATATGGTTCTTCCACATGCTGCAAAGGGTCCTGTTAGTTAGTTTCTTTCGGCTGCTCCCTTCTTCAGGGGTCGCCACAGCGAGCAAAGTCACATGAAAGATTCAGCAATTGGTTTACGTCATTCATTCAACCTTTATTTATACAGATGAATCACATTGAGGCTCATTTACAAGTGAGACCTGTTTGCCCACTAGATGCCCTTCCTGACACAACCTGGGCTCGAACTCGCAACCTCAGGATTACGAGACGACGACACTGACCACTGAGCTACCACAGCCTATGAATAAATTGTTAAATTGCCAATATATCTTATTTTTATCAGACCTGAATCATCCAATCCAGAAATAAAACACCAAATGAGTCGTGAGCTGTTCGGCAGAGAAAATTTGCCGTTTCTGTACCACATCCCTAACTCTGCTGCTCGACCCACAAATTATTTTTCCTCGCAAATGTATCACCACTTAAAGAGAAATAAACAGACTTTCCAACTATGTAAGATTTATTGCCAACAAGCATTGTTACAACAAAGAAATGATCAAATGTCCTTAATAATAATAATATTCCACCTCCTATGTTCAAATGAAAATGTTCTTATGTTCCAAATTTGAAATTAACTGTGAATTGTTTTAATTTTACACCCAGTGTTGGTTGCCACCTGGTGTTTGTGCCCTCCCAGAGAGACATCCACCACCATTTCATCTACCCTCAGCCGCCCTTCACCCTGCCTAACCTCGGCAAAGACCAGATCCAGGTCACACACAAAACTACATCTAAACTTGATAAACTACACATCGCTAAGTGATAAAAGCATGCAGCAGGTTTGAGTTATTATAACCAGCTTTATTGTGAATATAACAGTAAATACATCAACACAGATATATCTTTTTATATAAAGATGTCTTAAGAGTCATAATTAATCCATCTGAGCTCAGAAAGTTGTTTGTGTAGTCACTGTTGATTACTCATTTTAACAGTTTGTCACATTTGTATGTTTCTCTGCAGCGTGTCACCCTGGTTCCTGACCCCTGCTCCCTGCTGATCGATGGCGTGACCTTCGGCTTGACGTCCACTGACATCCTGTTCCACATGAGCGCCGAGGAGATCAGCAGGTGAGGAAGACCCCGCGATAAACCTCTGCTTCCAGGTCGCAGAATTCAGGTTCAAAAAGAAGCAGAACTAATGATTAACTTAAAATTGATGGCAAGTTTTAGTACAGACATGAACATTTAACGGTGTGAACGTTTAAATATATTGATATTAAAGTGCAGCACTGATCTTGATCTTATGAGTAGTTCCCAGCACGTTCCAGAATTTAACCTGAAAACGTTTTGTGTTGTAGCGGCGCCAGCTCGGACAGATTCACACGCATCCTGAAGCACATGCTGACCCAGAGGAGGTAAAAATCCTAAAACTCCTTCAGATGAATTCCTTTTTTAATTTGAAGGCGTGCGGTTTTAATGGCTCCTGCATGTCTGACTCTGCTCGCAGTTACTACCCTCTGTACCCGCCCGTGGAGGAGGTGAACATGGATTACGAGAAGTTCCAGGCCTTTGGGCAGATGCCGCTCACTCCTGACGTTCTTATCGTTCCTTCTGAACTGCGGTACTTTGTAAAGGTACAGAACAGTTGAAGCGTTAAATTAAAAACTCCCCAGAAATTTCACAGATTTTTAAAATCTTTAATCATCTCTGTCCTCAGGACGTGGTCGGCTGTGTGTGTGTAAATCCTGGGCGGCTGACCAAAGGTCAGGTGGGAGGGACGTACAGCCGGCTGCTCATCAGACGCGGCGCCGCCTCAGAGGGTGGACAGAGAGCGAGTCCTTGTTTGGCTGCTCAGGTGGTGAAAGTCTGACAGGAAGAAACGTGCCTAAAAATGAATTACAACCAGTTTGTTGTCTTTGCTCATACCGATAAGTCACTGGTTTTTGTTTTTTAACTATAATATTAGTTCCTTTTTATATTCCAAACATGTTGGGGCGTGTCTCTGATGGGTTGTCAGTCATACAGAGGCAGTAATAAATTATCACGATTTATTCAAATATTTCATTCAATTAAAGTTTATTTTCCCACCTATTTCTTGTTTTCTTGTTATATAACTTAACAGTAAATTTAACTTTTTTTGTTGTTGCAACATTTAACAAAATTAGCTTTTTTTAAAAAATTAGTTTTTTTGTTTTTGTCCACGTACATTAGTCGTAAAAATGATCATCAGAGTCACTTTCCTCGTCCATCTTTGGATTCTCCTTCGCCGCTTGAAAGATATCCATGTTGCGACAAATCACTGAAAAATAAATTGAAGAGAAATCAAAATGAAAATCTACAAATTCTACAGTTTTGTGATCTTGTGATGAGATCGTACCTTTGGGCTTCTCATCGGCTTTTAAAGGTGCGAGGAGATCCTCGATGTCTTCATCACTGACTTCATTTGAGGATTGGCTTTTATTCTCCTCAACTTCTTCAGAAATAATCTGGATTTGCTTAGACCTGGAAAAAAAAGAAACCCTAATATTCAGATTGCATCATTAATAAAGATAACAAGAGAAGTTGCATTTCCTGCAAAAATGCAGTGTGAAAGCTCATGGCTGAAGAACAGCTGAAATGAAAGAACAAGTCAAAGTTAGAAGAAAGAACACATTTGCTGAATTAGGTTTAAATGAGCACAAAAATTAGGAAATTATCTAACGATGTTGAAATTTGTAAAAAAAAAAAAAAAAAAAGCTGTAAAGGAAGAAATAAACTACCAGAAGGAAGTGAGCTTAAAAAAAAAGGCAGAAACAAGCTGAAATTAGAAATAAATTAATTAGGCTGAAAGTAGTAAAAATTACCATCCATCCATATCTTTTACACGCTTCTTCTATTTTAGGTCACGGGGGTCGCCTGTGTCCAGCAATCACTGTGCGAGGGGCGGGGTACACCCTGGACAGGTCTCCAGTCCATCACAGGGACACAGAGACAAACGAGACAAACAACCATTCACTCTCACACCTAGGGACAATTTAGAGTTCCCAATCAGCCTAACATGCATGTTTTTGGTCTGTGGGAGGAAACCGGAGTACCAGGAGAAAAACCATGCATGCACGGAGAGAACATGCAAACTCCACCCAGAAGGGCCCCCAGATTAAAACCAGGGACCTGTTCGCTGAGAGGCAGCAGCTCTACCAGTTGTGCCACCATGCAAAAATTACCAGTTCAACAAATTTTGAATTTATCTGAAAAGAGCTGAAATTAGCTAAAAATAAATAAAAAGGTAGAACAAGCTTGAATTAGCACAAAAACAGCTAAATAGTTGGTGAAATAGCTGAAACGTGCAGAAATAAAATGAAAGGAGCAGAAATAAGTTAGAAGAAGCACAAAAAAGTTGTAGTTAGTAGAATAAAAGTGAAATGAGCACAAAGCTGAAAAAAGCCTTAAATTTGCACAAGGAAGCTGAAAGAAGCTGAAGCAGAACAAAATGTGAAAGGAACAGTAAAAGGTTGTAAACAGATCTAAAGATTTTAAGGATGTAAAATGAGCTCAATTCATTTTCTATGAGACAAAAAATGTCCGAAAAGGCTAAATATTTCAAAAAGCTAAAGTTGCAATACAGATACAAAAGTCATAGCAGGACTGTCCTGAAAGAGCTGAACATTTTGATTTATGATTTGTTGAAATAGCTTAAAAACTGGAGGACGAAAATCGAGCCAAAAACATACAGAAGAAAAATGGATCACAATAGTGTGAATGCTTCATTAACATTCCCTCTGTTATTTAATCCTAAAATCTTACCCTTTAATCTGCGGAGTGATGATAACGTCCTCTGAATCTCCACTCTCTTCCGTTTCCTCACCCTGATCTTCACTTGACTCCTCCTCGTCCTGTTCCATCTCATCCTCATCTTCGTCCTCATCTTCGTCCTGTGAGGAGACAGGTCCTTGCTTTTGTATCTCCGTATCTTTGCTCTTCAGCACATTTGGCTGCTCTTCAGCCTCTCCCTGATCCTCCATCATATCCTGGGCTTCCTCTGGGATCCTTGTTGAATCGTCGTGGTCACCCTCCTCCACGTCACTGCTCTGTTCCTCACTTGTTTCTTCTTGATCTCCCGGGTTCTTCAGTCTTTCTCCATCTTTTTCTTGGCTGCTGTCCTGATCGTCTGTTTCCTCTTCAGCCCCTCCCTGATCCTCCATCCTATCCTGGGCTTCCTCCTCTGTTATTCTTGTTGAATCGTCGTGGTCACCCTCCTCCATATCACTGCTCTGTTCCTCACTTGTTTCTTCTTGATCTCCCAGGTTCTTCAGTCTTCCTCCTTCATCTTTTTCTTGGCTGCTGCCCTCCTGATCGTCTGTTTCCTCTTCAGCTCTAGTTTCAGTTTTTATGACGTTCTTTCCTGGTTCCTGCTCGGCACCGCAGCTCTCTGAACTGCCAGCGTGACTTTGGGTGCCCACCTTCTCACTCGGACACTCTTCGTTTGAACTCTCTTCCTCCTGCGTACTCTGACTCTCCTCTTCGACGTCTGTCTTGGTTTGCTCCGTGGCTCCTTCCACCGACTGACGGGAAACGACAGGAACGTTGATGCTGCCTTCCTCAGAGGAGGCGCTGCTTTCTGAGCTTCGTGGCAGCAAAACTGAGGCAGTGACATCTGGTTTATTGAAACTCCTGGATGACCAAACAGTTGAAGATGTAAAACCAACTTTCTAAGAGGTTCATGGAAGTTGATCTTAAACTGGACCCGGTTTATTTTACTCAGATGTGTGTTCTTGATTCTTACTTTGCAGCCGTGCGTCTTTCTGAGGATGGATGCTGCGTTCGTCCTCTCTTCTCCCTCCTTGCCTTTTCCCTGCTGGCCAGACGTGAACCTCGGTCACTCTCACTGCTCTCTGCAGGACTGCTGGACAGACGAACTGCATGCAGAGCGGTGATGAATGCATACAGTGCTGACGGTTTATTTTTATTTTTTGTTTTCTCACCTGGTTTAATGTCCAGATCAGGAGATGAACAGCTCCTGCTTCCACCATCTTTCTTCCCGTTGGAGCTTGGTACTCTGCTCATCTCATGCTCCTCTACAGTTTGAGGAGTCCTCGATGCAGGAGGCTCTTCTGTGTAGAGATGGCCCAAAGATACTGGGGGGATCCCAGCAGCAAACGGCCCAAGATCCACATCTGTGTGGTCCTGCCTGGACCACGGCTGACGATCGAACATGGGTGTGAGGTGTTGGGGCAGAAGTGAGGGAGGATATAAGTAGGCGGATGGAGGGAAGAGGAATGATTTGTGGGGTTGATGAGGTGCTCTGAGGGAATCTGGAAACCTGCCTGTGTGGGTCAACCAGGACTGAGCGTGGAGGTCATAGGAGGAATTATCTTGGACGTAATCAGACTTTTCTGGAGCGGGAAACACTCGAGGAGCTACAGATTTCTGAGGACCTGCAAATAATGACACATGTTGGATTGTACACCTGGATTATTGAGCATAGACTTTGTTATAATGACACATGGCTCAGGTGGAACCCTGCGTGTGTGGCTGGAGCAGAACGTTTAAAACTGCATTTTCTGCTAAACAGCACATTGGATGCTGAAGACGTTGAAACTGAACTGTTAAAGCTAAAATAACCCAACCACTGGCTAAAAGAGAAGAGTTGTAAAACACTGGCCGAAACGTAAAAGTATCAAAATGCTAGCTGCATTTCAAAAGCCATCTAGAAGCTAAAGGTAATACAAGTCTATAATTTAAAGTAGCAGAATGTTCGCAGTTTGGTTTTGAGGGAATTGAAGAGATTCTGATCTATTCCTATGGGAAAAATAAATAAAGTTAAATATTTTGAAAAGTATTAAAATTACAACAATGTAAAAACAGCTTCCATCACCTGAATGAGCTAAAATTTATTCATGAAGGTTTAAAATAACGCATAAGTAGTTTGATTACAGAACATGGGTACAGTTTACAATAAGGCTCCCCTTAAAGATGGCTGTAAATCGTTTATACAAACCGGATTCCAAAAAAGTTGGGACACTAAACAAATTGTGAATAAAAACTGAATGCAATGATGTGGAGATGGCAAATGTCCATATTTTATTCGTAATATAACATAGATGACGGATCAAAAGTTTAATCTGAGTAAATGTAACATTTTAAAGGAAAAAATATGTTGATTCAAAATTTCACAGTGTCAACAAATCCCAAAAAAGTTGGGACAAGTAGCAATAAGTGGCTGGAAAAAGGAAATTGAGCATATAACGAATAGCTGGAAGACCAATTAACACTAACTAGGTCAATTGACAACATGCTTGGGTATAAAAAGAGCTTCTCAGAGTGTCAGTGTCTCTCAGAAGCCAAGATGGTAAGAGGATCACCAATTCCACCATTGTTGTGCAGAAAGATAGTGCAGCAACACCAGAATGGTGTTACCCAGCGTAAAATAGCAAAGACTTTTAAGTTATCATCATCAACCGTGCATAACATCATCAAAAGATTCAGAGAATCTGGAACAATCGCTGTGTGTAAGGGTCAAGTCCGTAAAACTCTACTGGATGCTCGTGATCTCAGGGTCCTTAAACGTCACTGCACCTCAAACAGGAATGCCACTGTCAAGGAAATAACAGAATGGGCTCAGGAATACTTCCAGAAAGCATTGGCAGTGAACACAATCCACCGTGCCATCCGCCGTTGCCAGCTGAAACTCTACAGTGCAAAGAGGAAGCCATTTCTAAGCAAGCTCCACAAGCTCAGACGTTTGCACTGGGCCAGGGATCATTTAAAATGGAGTGTGGCAAAATGGAAGACTGTTCTGTGGTCAGATGAGTCATGATTTGAAGTTCTTTATGGAACACTGGGACGCCAAGTCATCTGGACCAGAGAGAACAAGGATAGCCCAAGTTGTTATCAACGCTCCGTTCAGAAGCCTGCATCACTGATGGTATGGGGTTGCTTGAGCGCTTGTGGCATGGACAGCTTGCATGTCTGGAAAGGCACCATTAATGCAGAGAACTATGTTCAGGTTCTAGAACAACATATGCTCCCATCTAGATGTCATCTCTTTCAGGGAAGACCCTGCATTTTTCAACACGATAATGCCAGACCACATTCTGCAGCAATCACAACATCATGGTTACATAGGAGAAGGATCCGGGTACTGAAATGTCCAGCCTGCAGTCCAGATCTTTCACCTACACGGAACATTTGGCGCATCATAAAGAGGAAGGTGCGACAAAGAAGGCCCAAGACCATTGAACAGTTAGAGGCCTGTATTAGACATGAATGGGAGAGCATTCCTATTTCTAAACTTGAGAAACTGGTCTCCTCTGTCCCCAGACGTCTGTTGAGTGTTGTAAGAAGAAGGGGGGATGCCACACAGTGGTAAAGATGGACTTGTCCCAACTTTTTTGGGATTTGTTGACGCCATGAAATTTGGAAACGACAGATTTTTCCCTTAAAATGATACATTCTCTCAGTTTAAACTTTTGATCTGTGATTTGTGTTCTATTCTGAATAAAATATTAGATGTTGGCACCTCCACATCATTGCATTCAGTTTTTATTCACGATTTGTTTAGTGTCCCAAATTTTTTGAAATCCAGTTTGTAGATATGTTGTTAATTCCACTAGAAACACTTTATAAATCATTAATAACTGTTTATTATGCATTAATTAAGGGTGAGAAAGAGACAAAACTGAACAGTTTCTTGCCAAATAGTGATCCAAATCTGTTCACCTATATATTTCATCTAGTGTTGTTATATTAAACATTTCAGACTAAGTTGACCTTGTGAGCACAATAAGCATTTGTAAACCTAATATTTTTAGGATATAATATTAATTGTTGGTACTTATAATGCAGTGATCAAGTACAATATTACATGCTAAAGAAATAGGTTTACAAATGCTTACAAGGTAGTAACTTAGTCTGAAATGTTTAATATAACAACTCTAAATGAAATACATAGATGAACAGATTTGGCTCACTATTTGGCAAGAAACCTCAGTTTTCTCTCTGTCACCCTTAATGCATAATAAGCAGTTATTAATGCTTTATAAAGTGTTTATAGAGGGATTACCAACGTATCTATAAACTATTAGCATCTATAAGGGGAGCCTTATTGTAAAGTGGTACCAAAACATGTATGGAAAAATAAAAAGGATTGCTGAAATCACACAATAACAACAAAAAGGAAACCTTGTGATAGCCACGCTTTGTCCACTGCAGAGGCCAACATCTGGTTTTCTTCTGTTTTCGTTAGATAAGCCCTCTGACAGTCTTCCATCCTCTGTTGAAGAAATACACGACTTTGGTCACATCTTGTTCATTTGTGAACACATACAGTTCTACAATTGCACCTTGTGTTGAGCGGCCTGTGTTTTCTCCTGGAGTTGCTGCTGCCAGCGGGGGAAGTTCTCCTCCAGATACCTCTCATACTCCATCTGCAAAATGTCAAAGTGTTTCAGCACCGGAGCCTCACTAAGGAGACGTCTGAATAGATTTCTGAATAACTTCATTAAAAAAAACATTCAGTCTGTTGTGTGTGTAATCTCTAATTGTGCACCCTGATAGTTTTCATGGCAGCAATGCGGGACAACATCTCCTTCAGGGAGTCCTGGGCTTTCTCAAACTGCTGCAGCAGCTGCTTGTTGTGCTCTTGAGCTCGGCGTTCTCTGCCCTTCAGCTCCTGCAGACACAGCTGGAGGTGCATCGCTCTGCTACAGGACATAAGGAGGTAAAACCATTAACAAAACGTGGCTCAAAGTCTCAAACTGAGCTTGATTTATTCTACAGAGTCTAAACTAAACATTTCTGACAATAAACCAACAGAATGCACATGTCCAGTCTAAAAATACATTTAAGACTGAATCACCTTTTTTTTTTTTTTTATCTGTTTTAAATTGACAAGTATTTGTTTTATTTTATGGATTATTATAAAAAGACAAGAAAAAGTATGGTAAACATGCCTAAAAGCAACTAAAGTAACAGTTGATTTATTTTTGTAAACCTTATTACTGAAGCCAAAACTGGCAACAACCAAAATCTTTATTCATAAGAACATTGTTATAAAACAGCCTGTGGACAGATTTTTATTTTCTTCTCATTTTAGACCCCTAAAACAAAACAAGTATGTATGGATACACACACTGCTTATCTGTGTTTTAAAATCCTTAATTTCAATGTGTAAAAATAAAAAGTGCACTTAGTTTGGCCTAAGTGAGCTTCCACAGCCTGATTTTACAGTAAATCCAGCTTTTTATTTTTACATTATAGGAAACAGTTTAACTGAAAAGTAGTTTATTTACTAGAAAACTGAAATTTTAAATATTTGACGTTTAACTGATAATGAGAAAACTGTGTACACGTTTTTTATTGTTAAATCTTAACAAGTGAAGAGAAAACACTTCCACTCGTGCACAGACCTCACATGGATCAGTTTGACAGCATTGTGTCTTACCTCTTTTTTACACCATGAAGTTGTTTGGTGAATTTACTCTCGTCGTTGCTGGTCAGATGCCCAAGAGACTGTAAATTATCTGCTGGTGCAGCCATGACTGTCAGCTTTCTTTGGATGAAGAGATTATCAGGGATTAAAGCCCACGGGGGAGGGATTGTGCATGCGGCCAATTTGCTTACCAAACTAGGTACAGTATTATCGTTTTACTTCCACAAACTTAACCTAATAAAGTATTTATTTACATACACAAAAATGGAACTTGACCACAAAATACTTGCCTGGTTTCTTCTGAATAGGTCTGGAAACTCAGAGGAGCCGAGTAGGACAAGAAAAGAGCTGGTTGCTGGTATTAAGAGGGCCAAGGGCACATATGCACAGAGGATCGAGGGTCAACTCATCTCACAAGACCCTCGGAGCATGTGGAGGGGCATTAAGTGCATAACAGATTATAAAGGAAGGAGTGAACAATGCCCCAAAGACCCATCTCTGCCTGATGCCCTCAACAAATTCTATGCACGCTTTGAAGACCCGAACAGACCACCCAGCACCAGACTCACCTCACCACCGGATGAAGAGCATCTCAGCGTGACCTCAGCAGAAGTAAGGAGTACCTTCAGGAGGATTAATCCGCATAAGGCAACTGGCCCAGAAAACATCCCCGGAAAAGTGTTGAAGGAATGTGCTGATCAGCTCTGTGAGGTGCTGGCAGACATCTTTAACACCTCACTTACCCTGGAGACAGTTCCTACCTGCCTGAAGACTGCCACCATCATCCCAGTCCCAAAAAGCTCTACAGTGATTGGTCTGAATGACTATCGGCCAGTGGCCCTCACCCCGATAGTCGCTAAATGCTTTGAAAAACTTGTCATGACTCGCATCAAAACAACCATCAACATCAACGAGGACCCTCATCAGTATGCATACCGTGAGAACCGATCAACAGAAGCTGCCATCTCCTCTGTGGTCCACACTGTGCTCAACCACCTGGAGCAGAAAAACTCTTACGTCCGTATGCTCTTTGTGGACTTCACATCCGCCTTCAACACCATGATCCCCCAAACCCTGATGGACAAACTATCCACACTAGGACTAAGCCCCTCCATTTGCAACTGGGTACTAGACTTTTTAACAAACAGACCACAGTTAGTGAGGATCCACAACCTCTCCTCCTCCACCATAACCCTCAGCACTGGCTCTCCTCAGGGATGTGTGTTGAGTCCCCTCCTGTTTACTCTGCTCACGTATGATTGTGCAGCTACCCATCCAGGCTGTCACATTGTAAAGTTTGCAGATGATACAGCGGTGGTGGGATGCATCACAAACAATGATGAGTCCAGCTACAGGCAAGAGGTGGAACACCTGGAGAGCTGGCGCAAAGAGGTCACACAATGTGAAGAAGACAAAGGAGATGATTGTAGACTTCAGAAGGAACAAAAACATCTACACCCCCCTGAACATAAGAGGATCTGCAGTGGAAGTGGTCTCCAGCTACAAGTACTTGGGTGTACACATGAATGACAACCTCAGCTGGAGCAACAACACCACCAGCCTGATCAAGAAAGCTCATCAGAGACTCTACTTCCTCAGACAGCTGAGGCGAGCTGGTCTGGGAAGCTCAGTCCTCACCTCCTTCTACAGGTGTGCAGTGGAGAGCATCCTGTGCTCGAGCATCAATGTGTGGCATGGAGGCTGCACAGCTGCAGAAAGAAAAGCTTTGCAGAGAGTGGTGAAGGCTGCACAGAAATCTGTCGGAATCAGCCTCCCCACCATCACAGACATCTACACCTCCAGATGCAGGAAGAGGGCCACCTGCATCATGAAGGACCCCACTCACCCAGCACACACACTTTTTGCCCCACTCCCCTCAGGAAGGAGGTTAAGGAGCATTAAGTGTAGAACCACTAGACTGAGGAACAGCTTCTACCCTGAGGCTGTTAGACTCATGAATCTCTAACTAGAATAATCACTGTGAAAAACCATATCATGCTGCTGCTGATCTGTTTCATGTTGCTGCTGATCTGTTTCAATGTTGATGTGTTCATGCGTGCACATCTGCTCACAGACTCATGTTCATGTTTGTGCTGATGTTCAATGTTTTTATGTTATGAGTGCTTAGTGTATATTTAGTTGATATTTTTCTTAGTTCATATCTTAGATGTCATTACTGTTTTTCTTATACATTTTATTGTTGGATGTAACTGGGACCTTGTGTACTTAATTTCGCTCCACCACATGTACCACATGAGGTGCGAATGACAATAAAGAAACTCTGACTCTGAAGTTCAACAGCACCTCACCATCTAAAATCCTTAATTTATTTCATGAGGAAGACATATCCACCTGAGCTACAATCTTATAGAAGATTAAAAAAAAATAAGTTTACTGTGTGACAAACACAAACAGATTATAAAACAAATTATTTAGGATTTATTTAATCAAGACCAGATCATGGCATATTTACTTATGAATAACTGCTTTTTCTTTACCACCAAAATTATTATAAATGGTTGAACAAACCCAGAATGGGACAATAATTTGGAGGAGAAAAAAAAAACCTGAAAGTGACATGACATGGGTACATTGCATCAGCAAATGCATAAAGAAATTACATAAATATTATCAAAGAGGATTAGGGCCTAGGTGCATTATTTTTCTTAAGTCTGACTTTTTTCTCAGAATTACAAAATTAAAGTCAAAATTCTGAGGAAAATTACAAAATTATGGAATTTATTTCGGAAATCTGACTTTATTCTCAGAATTCTTACTTTTTTCTGCAGAATTCTGAGATTAAAGTCAAAATTTTGGGATAACATTCAGAATTTTAATTATCTAAATTAATACTTTTTTTTTTTTTTTTTTTTTTTTTTTACCGTGGCTGTGATCCTCTTCTGTAAAAAATTTAGTCCAAGCAAAAAATAATATTTTCTTAAAGCGATTTCAGAGACGGAACCTTGTCTTGTTGCACGCCGGTTGTATTATCATGCAACACCGAATCGCGGATATGATTTCCGTGATTCGCAATCACAGAATGGAAGACCAAATTGTTTCTTTTACAAAGAGTAACATCTCTCTATTATTTTTTTAACTATATGATTCTTTCAAAATATCCGTGAAGTTTTAGTTGCTTCATAAAGTTGCTTTAAGGTCACTAGAACGTAGCTGGTGTTTTGTATTTATTTATTTGTATTTGATTAGCCACCCAGCTAGCTGTGCGTCGGCAAAATCATTCCTTCATCCTCTACACCGAGGAGGTAGACGAGCTCGAAACATGACGGGTTTCTCCAGCACTTTGCTCTGCAGAGCTGAGAAGGTTTGTCAACACCTTCCCGTTCTCCTCAACACCTTCCTGGTGTTCTCCATCACCGGGGAGGTGAACTACCTGGTGCTGGTCGAGGCGCCTCTGGAGGCGGCGCAGAAGAAGACGGAGTGGTCCGCCTGGTGGAAGACGGTGCACCTGCTGGCCCAGTACTTCATGCTGGGGAACATCTGCTGGAACGCGCTTCTCTTTTTAAAAACGAACCCCAGCATCAAGGGGGTGTTCTTGGGAGGAGACGGCCTGGGGCAGGGCTGGAGGTAAAAAAAAAAAAAAAAACGTGTGTGTGGCCAAAGTTTCCACAAGGTCCCTACAGAGCCTTGAAAAGTATAACAATAATGCATTTGTTTGCTCACTTGAATCATGAAATAGTGTGGAAGCCTATTTCTGCCACTTTTAATAAATATCATCTGTGTATGATTGAGATATCTCATAGATCAATTTGCATTTTCTGTAAAAATACAGAGATTGCTTGTTGCTGGATGAATGTTCAGAAAACTGTCAGACAAACTTGAAAAACATCAACAGGTGAAAAGTTGAAAACAGAAGCTGAAAGGAGCACAAATAGATGAATTTGGCTGAAAAAGGCTGAAAGAGTACAAACAAGCTAAAATAAACTAAAATAGATTTAAAAGAGCCCAGAAAGATAAAATGAGTTGAAAAGTAGCCAAAAAAAGTTGAAATTAGCTGAAAGAGCAAAACAGTTTAAATTATTAGTAAGAGCCTGAAAGAGTACAAGTTTACCTAAGCATAATTAAGATTAAATAAGAACAAAAAGCTGAAATTAGATGAAAAGTAGCAGAAAATGTTAAAAAATGGAATAAAAAGTACCAGAAAGTAGCTGAAAGAGAGCACAGTAAAAGATGAAATTGCCAGAAGAAGCAGAAATAAGTTGAAAAGGGCAGAACAAAATGTGAAATGAGCAGCAAACTGTTTTAAACAGCGCAAAGGGTTTGAGGGATGTGACTAGAGCTCCATTTATTTTCACTGGGGAAAACATGGCAGAAAAGGCTAAACATTTCAAAAAGAAAAAATTTCCCAAACACCAAAAGTCATAGCAGGAATGTCCCGAATGAGCTGAATGTTTTGATAAATGAACTGTTGAAATAGCACAAATTATTGCGAAACAAGTTGCGTGACAAAAAATGTACAGAGGAAAAATAGATCTCAGTAGTGTAAATGCTTTTTAACACATTCACACTCTTTATTATGGCTTAGAGGATTGTTTTTTAATTTAATTTTTTTTTTAATTTTTCATCAAAGTGGTAAAAATGGACTTAAATGTTATTGAAAGAAAAAAATAAGGTATGAAAAATGGAAAATTCATTTGAAATCCCAGATAATATTAGCCATATTTGTCCCAGTTTTTAGAAATAACTTCCTCAAATGGTCGTGTTTGACATTGATTGTGTATAAAAATGAACATAATTACTTGATGTTTCGACATTAACCTAATTTCTTTGCGCAAGAGTGTAAATCAGTAGATTTGATGAAAGTTTTACTCAAGTTTTTGTAGCTTACACAGACGTCACCAAGAAATAATTACTGAATTAACAATTTAATATTTATTGTTTTATTGTCACATTTAAAGCATGGAAGCTGCAGTACAGTACTATTTTTTTAGTATTTTAAACAGATTTTTTTTTTTTTTTATAAATTTTTCATTCCACTCAAAACAGAAATGTGAAAGTTTAAGTTTGATGTTTTAAATTGAGAAAATAATGCTTAAAATAATAAATAACGCTACATTTCTGAAGAAAAATGAATTGTGTAAACTAAGTGAATCACTTTGGTTAGATCCATATTTTTTTAATGTCTAAATAAAACAAAAATGTGATATTTCTAATAATGCCATCGTGTCTTTTCTTTTGTTTTCACTTCCCGTATTCGATGGGCTGATTTTCAAGGGTCATTTACTGATACGCTCATTATAGATTTATTGAAAAGGCGAACACGACTTCACATTTTAGTTTAAAGCCATATAAAAAGTAGAGCCTCCATATCCTAATCTAAAAGTCCATAAAGTGATGAATTAAACAGCAATATAATCCTTCATGTTGCCTAGAAGCATTTCTCAGATTAATTTTTTTTCTCTCGTAACGCAGATACTGTTACACCTGCGAGACGCACACTCCCCCGCGCTGCTCCCACTGCTTCGACTGCAAGGTGTGCGTGCTGCGGAGGGACCACCACTGCGTCTTCTTCGGCCAGTGCGTCGGCTTCCGCAACTACCGCTACTTCCTGAGTTGCTTGTTGTTCATGTGGTCGGGGCTCCTCTATGCCATGGTGATGAACGCAGAGGTCTTCATCGTCATACTGAAGGAGGGCGTGACGCTGCACAGCATTCTGCTGCTGCTCATCCCCTGGATCATGCTCGTTTCTGGTACAATCACACACCTCCGCTGTCCATTTTGTTGTATTTCTTACGCAGCTTTAAAGCCGTCAACTAGATTTGGTCACGCGAACTAGACTCAGCGTCCGTTTTTAAATATGGTGAGCCCCTTTACAAAAAGCATGTTGAAAGGTTTCATCCAACTTGTGATGTTTTACAACCTGAAACGTTTTGTGCAGTGAAGCTAAACATGACTAAATCAGATCCTTCTTTTGAAGAGGCTAATAAAATATAAGCGACAGTCTTACAATAATATTTAGAGCTAATTCCAGTAATTGATCTGTTGATTAGATAATTAAAGTTTTAGATCTTAGGTTTGTGTATCAGAAATCTCAGCGAACCATAAAAAACAGAATTGTTGAGTGGTGACCTCCTGGATTTTCACCTTGTGGTCAATCTGCCTATAGGACTTTGAGAAGTTTAGTTATACAGTAGTCCCTCATTTATCACAGGGGTTTGGACCCCCCACCACCAACACCCCTCGTGCGATAAGAGCTGCGAAGCAGTTGTCCAAGTTCAAGTGGTACAAGAGATGGAACGAAATTGTGTACAGAAGTAATAGTAGTAGTAGTAAATAATAGTTTACTTTAGTATTTATATACAGGTGTGTATTAAGGCATTTTAAAGCCTTCCCACACTCTTGCAATGTCCCTAACAATTTTCTAAACTCTAAGCGCTCTAAACGAGCACAGCTTGTCATGAGCTCAGCTCTCTGCCTCCAGCTGCTCTCTCGGCCACGCCCACTTCTCCGCTGCAGAGCGAAGATCATGACATGCTGCAGGAGGAAGCTTCTCCTGCAGCTGTGGGCTGCACACAGGTGCTAAATAATTTATTTTAAATACAAATTCCATGCCCATCGTGCGGCTCATCCATCAATCAGCCAATTTATTTTGCATCATGTCCAATCTTATTTTGAAAAACCGCGATGGAGCGAGTCCGTGAGATACGAATCGCAAAGTAGCGAGGGACTACTGTACATAATTTGACCAAGATATGCAAAATAAGGTAAACAGAATTTGGTCACCTCTGCATGTAGACAAGCAATTCGTCATGTCGTCTTATCAAATCTTAAAGACAAATTCAAACCTGCTCAGTTTTAAAAACAAGCTGTGAAGTTCTTCATTTTCTGCTCCAAGATAACACAAAGAGCACAACTATAGGAGGAGTAAATGCGAATTTAGGGAGAAAAAGTTTAATTAGATCAAATTAAATATGCAACTATAAAATAACTATGAAATTACACAAACTTCCATTTAACTGCACAATCTGTGATAACTATCGTTAGCTTTCTGTATATTTTAATGCATTGTCCAAATTGATGTATTTTGATCAACTGGGCTGTTCATATTCATTATATTAGAGTTTATGGGTAATTAATTGGCATACAAATAATAATCTTTACTAATGTTGTTGTTTCTCTGGTCATATTCTGTTAGTTTCACCTTGCTGTTTCCATGTGTCTGTCCCAAATATTCAAAATTATATAATCAATTATTATTTCTAAATTAGTACCTGATAGATTCAAGTTTTTGGGAAATTGCAGCTGTGGTTGTTTTTAAATGTGCTATATAAATAAACTTTGAATTGAAAGTCCAGTAAATGTTTCCACTCTTATCCACTCCTTTGTTCCTCTGTAGGCCAGGTGTCGGCACGCGCCTTTGCGTTCGCCTTCATCGCCGACACGTGCGTGGTGGGTTTCCTGCTGGTGTCCGCTTTCTTCTTCTTCCACCTCTTCCTGCTGTTTCGCGGTCAGACCACGAGGGAGTGGTACTCCTCCCGCCGCCCCTATAATCTGGGAGCGCTCGGTAACCTGCGTCACGTGCTGGGCCTTCGCTGGTACCTCTGCTGGCTCTCCCCGCTCATCCCATCCCCGCTGCCCGGAGATGGGATGAACTTCCAGGTCACGGGATCGCTGGAGCCCACCAAGTAACAGCTGGAGGTCTGAACAGGCTGCGTGTCCTTACTTTGGTGGTGGAGAGGAGCTGCAGCGAGGAGGATGACCTCCGTTCATCTGTCAGTGATCATCTGTGTCGAGATAGAAATCATCCCTGAAGATAATCTGAGCACTGAATGAGGCTGGCCTCTGAATGTTTCTGAAGCACTAAAAATATCTTAACAACAGCACTGATAAAATATTGTGTTTGATTTTATTTATAAAAACATGTGCAGGCAGACAATGGCTCCTGGGGTGGTAGGACTCTTGGGTGTGGTGATAAAGTTTTCTTTATCAGGGTTTTCCCCAAAATGTACTTAAGCTAAACTACCTGAATTTAAATCTCGCATACAGTGTTCCAACATCAATCAACCTTTATTTATACAGGTAAATCCCATTGAGCCTCCTCGAGGCTCAATGGGATTTCTCAATGATGTAATTCCTCACATCAACTTCTGAACAGATGAGTTTATCACAACCTTTTTACTGGATGTTGTCAGTAAAGGGAGATGAGCAGCGATGTCTTACAGGGAAATAAATGCTGAAATTAAACTCTGATAGTACACGGTGTAAAATCTTGCGTTTGAGTTTACAGAGTAAAGTGAGTCACCTGGTATTAAATAGTATTTTAAATATGTGTGACCGTTCAGTTAGAACAGTCTCCATGTTTTACATTTTGTTGATGTTTCATTCAGCTAAGGGTGTCCTGATTCTTTAATCTTAATCAGTATACTAATCTATTTTCAGGTTGATTACCACAGTTCTAACAAAACAGCTGTTTTTTTGTTGTTGTTGTTTACAGTTTTATGTTTTTTAAGGTGTTTCTGGAGCTGATAGTCTGAATATTTTCTGTAATCATCTGCTTCAGTTCAGTTTCTAATGTGGCCTTAGGATGATTGAACGTGTCGTTTTTCACTTTACGCCAACAGGACTCGCTGAATTCCTTAATTTTGTTTTTTAATTTTGTTTTTGCACTGCCTTTGTTTTTAATTTTAAGTCTTCATGCTCTGAGCTGAATATCAGTTTTGTCAGTTGTTGCTGAATTTCTATTAAAGCCAAAAATCATTTTTGAATGTGTTAATGACAAATATGGCTGCATGTGTGGTGTTGGCTCTATGGTTTAAATATACCGGTAAACTCTTTCAAGGGTGGTACTGTACCTCTATTATTATTATTATTATTGTTATGGATTTTGTATTTTTAAAGATGTTTTTAAATAATAAAATTTGGATTTGGAAATTATTTTCTGATAATTTTGTTGGGGGGGTCTAGTCCAAGACAAGCTGTGTAACGGCAAGATTTTATTTATTAAAGCACGTCAGTACTTGCTAATTTGCAGCATATTTAGCCGATTTAGCCAAGGTGTCTGTTTCCTGGTAAGAATATTTGAATTGGCAATTTACAATTTTTTTAAAATCAAAGAAAATATAAAGTAGAGCAGTGCGGGATTTTTGTTTGTACAACTCGGCTAATGCTAACAACGGTTAACATCGATTAGCTAAGTCACTAGCATAGTTTAAAACGGACGCTAACTGGCTATGGTTAGCATTGACTAGCTAAGTCACTAGCATAGCATGTCTTAGCTTTTGTCCTCCATTTTCTTCAATTTATATATTTTTTACATATGTTTAACTCAGTGTTAATAACTAAATAGTTTTATTATGTTATGACTTAAATTTAGCAGCTTGCGTTGCTCTTTAGGTCAGGTGTATCTACAATTAGCATACCTGCAGCTAATTCTTACTCCTGGTATTTAGAGCAAAGTATGAATTAAATCTTTTTTTTTTCTTTTTTTTTTTAAGTCAGCCCTATTTCAAAGGTTTACTTTAAAGTTAAGTGTACTTACTGTTTTTATTTTGTTTGTTTTAAATAATATGGATCCAAATAATTTCAGTCTTGGATCATTAGCACCGTTGTCTGGGTTTCAAAAATGTTGGACACTCATTCCATCATCAGTAATATTTAAGTTATTATTATTGTTTTTATTATTACCACAATATTGTAAAAAAAAAAAAAATTGTTCCTTTCTAATTAGAAACCTGTTGTCATGACCAATGTCAAAGTAAAAGACATGTAATTTCAACATGTTATTCTTCAATTGAAATACTTTGATTGCATTAAATTAGTTTAGTAAAACAAATCTAATATGGCAACAGTAACATTTGGATTGTTCAAATCTACAATCGTGTACATTCAGGGGACAATACATCTCTAAAGTTTTAAACTTTAACTTGTCCTTTGCAAATGGATACTCAGAGCTAAATGTTTGCATTTTAATTATTTATAACCATATTAAATTTTTGGTAAATACTGGTACATAAAAGGAGAATAAAAACTATGTCACCAAATGTTTAATGCTAACTTTATTTAATAAATGTATAAACTTCTATTTATACTTATATTTAAATAAACTTCCATTTATAAATTTTGGCATTTTTCTTCATGCCAATTTTTTTTTAATGAATTATATACATGTGCATTGTGTATTACACTGTAATATTAGTTATGTTATAGTCATTCTTTGCCATTCTAGTTAAAATCATTTAAGATTAAATGGGAAAAATTAAAAGTCGTAAACCAATTTTATGTACATTTTTAATCTTTTATGTTGATTTGGAGCAGAAAGGAGGTTTCAACCAGCAGGATGGAGACAGATATGTGAGTAATGCTCCCTGAACAACCCCCACACAAACAAATGGATTGATTAAGCAGTATATCATATCTTTTTTTTTTTTTGTGGTGTGTGTTTTTTAAAGATCTCGCAAGGAGATGCTGGAGAAAATAGCTGAGCTGGAGCACAGTCAGAGTCAACTGAGGGAACTGAATGCTGAGATGAGACACTGGCTGGACTTTGCCGATGATGACGTCGCAGCGCATCGCTCTGAGAATGCCGTGCTCAGAAAACAAGTGAAAGAGTAAGGTCATTATGCTTTAATATAGAATGACCACATTTTTGTTGAATTTATTAGTTTACTGTTGGCTTACACTGGCAGGTTTTGCAGTGTTTGACATGTTTTTCCATAAATGGGGAATGGGAAAGTGGTGTGTGTTTATCTGCAGGCTGAAGAAGACCATCAGTGAGGCAGAACAAGTCGACACAGAGCCTTATGGGGACCTGCTGGACAGCGACCTCAATGAAATTAAAAGCAGTGACAAAAAGATCCAAGATCTGGTATGTTAACAGTAAAGTTACTCCCTTACAAACGATGCTCGTTTGTTGCATCTCTCAGTTGCATCTTTTGAGTTTCATGTGTTGTGCAGGAGAAGGAGTCCACCATGGTGAAAGAGGAAAATAAGAAATTAATGAGAATGGTAAATGTATTCCTTGTTTTCTTTTTTAATTGTTTCACATAGCTTTACTCGTTTGGATGCTGGGGTGTTGTTCTTGTTTTGTTTTTTTTTATCAGTTGAACCTGCTAGAAAGCAACTGCTCTTAAAGTGTACACAAATATAAAGACGGAAGAGAACACGGCATCATTTGTAAG